GGTTTAAAGGTTGAGGTACGGCTTGGCGCTCTCTACCCACAGCGCTGCCTTCTTCCGGTTCGGGCAACTTAAAATACAGTGGGGCTTAGAAAAGCAATGGTCTCGTATGAAGTCAGTGCATTTTACCACTCAGGTTTGTTTATATGTGAAGTATTGTCAGGTATGATGGATAGGTGCAGTGACCTGCAGGCTGTACCACAGAGTGAATTGGAGCGAGTGCTTGGAAAGAAAAACGGTGATCAGGTGATGGAGTAATTCATAGGACACTACGCGAAATTCTCTTATGAATTCATTCCAGCTCTATAAACTCTGCCGAGGTATGGACGACGGCAAAAGCTTCATAGCTAGTAGTATTCGCAAGAGCGTATCTTGTGACATCAATTACGGCATTCGCTTTACAAAGGTAATTTGTTTTTGTTGAATATATGGAACTCTGGTTGAATGTTTACATCAGCGTGAGCTATTTGAAATCCCAGAGGTGAATGAATAGGCGGAAGGACAAGTAGTCATGCTTTGGATAGACAGTTTTGTGGCGATCCAATAGTCACATCGCTCCTGAAACGTTTCCGAACCACCGTCTTTCTCAGACATCTACTGCCTTCTCGTAAACTAGTCTTCTGGGGTAATCAGCGAGGGCGTAGCTGTGGATGAGAGACCAAGAAACCTCTGACGTCATAATTATATGGTTGAATAGTAGTTGTGGCTGCTTCAGGAAATGTAAAGTAGAAAGTTACCAGGAGGAAAAAACCGTACCACATAAGCGCTCTCTTTCAGAAGAGCGAAGTCGCCCATTTTCTTCACGTCATTGGTCAAGAACTGGAAAAGAAGCTGAAACAAGCAAGAATGGTTACCAGTTCTGTCACTCTCAAACTTATGGTGAGTCTATGAGAAATCCATTTTCTCTAACACCCCTCCACCCAATGGCTGATTCTTCGAGGTAATTTGATTATGCGAAAAGTTTCAAACACAAGAAAATGTACATTTCATGAAAATTTCCACCAGTCTCAAAACATGGAGTGATGAATGTTGCGATTTCAAATTTGATCGCAGTGCAGAGAAATGTTTAAACGATTTTCTATGATGTAGGTCGTTTTTGTTTCCTGGTCAGATGTTTTTGCTACATTTAGATACGAAGCGCTGATGCACCTTTCGAAACCGAGAAGTATCTAGGGCATGGGAGGTGTGACACCCAGAATAAAACATCAACTTTGGATCACCCGACCGGGTGTGCTCAGGTATGCCCCCGTTAATCACTGAAACAATGCCTTGGAGACAAACTGTACACTCTCTTCCGAGAGTGGTCTTTTGTGCGAGGTGAATGGATCCACAGCTGCTCCAGCGTGCCACATTCTCCTCCTCGAGAGTGCACGGGAACGGGGCTGGAGGGTAGCAATACTCGGGTGCCGTGTGCATACTCCCATGGGTGGATATGGTATGGATACATGGTGCGCTTTTGAGCGGAGAATCAGGCACAGGGCACTACTGCAGCTGTGGATCCATTCAGTACAGTTTATCTTCAGCTGATCTCGTTGACAAACCGACGTGAGGCTCTAATAACGGAAACAGATTTTTAGCGTCTTTCAGGGTCATGCACGCCATGGTTGTTCCTGAAACTTTTTACGAAGATTTCACCCGTCATTGAAGATATTCGCGGTGTTAGTCACTTGTGATTTTCAAATGTTACAACTTGGTGTAATTGATCGTTAGCGCATTCAGATAGAGAGTGCGTGTGGCGCCTTGGGCGTTGATTTCGATGTCGGATATTCTGTCACATCTGAAGGCTTCCACGAGATGTTTACGTTCAAAACGAAGAAAAAGGTCTTTTTTCATCAAACGTTGTCCACATCCTTTGTTCTCGTGTCATCACCCTTCTGAGTTGGCATTACATATTTTGATAGGAAGGTCAAACAACAAATGTGTGCAGTTCTAAAGCATACAGATTCAGTTCTATCCAAATATAATGTTTAGCTCTGCATTGAACCGTTGTGGCGGGACTTGTTCGAAGAGAATTCCACTGTGCGAATTGAATGCTTACCAACGAAGAACTCTCGATTGTTTCAATGATGCATGAACCTACTCAACATTTTTTCTGGCTAAAGATTATGAAGACTGAAAAATTATGAATTGTCTGCTTTTAAATAGCAGTAAATTCCATTTCATCTCTAAATTACTCATTTTTGAGAAAATTGTGGTTATCGCGAATATAACGGAATTTTGGATTTGGACCTAGAAGCCTTTCATGGGGTATTCGGCGACGGGGTGGTGGGAGGAGGGCATTTCGACCTTCGCTACTTCCAATAGGTCTGTCAACCTCATATACAGCTTTCGATCAGTTGACGGTTTCACAATTGTGCTCGATGAGCTTGCTCCAGCTTCACAGAAGTTCACAGGTTTCATCGGGCAAACTATGCAAACCGGTACTAGTGGAGCAATGAGAGTGCAAGATGCCCTCCCCTGCCGAACTCTCCTCTCATGCCTTTGCACAGAATTCTATCTGGTCGGACGGCTTTTAGGTAACAGCATCCACGCGATGGAGTGGGAGTGGCTGCATTCTCTACTTGAGCGTGACGTAGAGTACGTTGTTCGATACTTCCATCGAACACAAGTGTGGTCTTTTTCTTCTACTAGACAAAGTTATGTTTGCGACTGTTCTGGAACGGCAATATCTCGTCATGTACACAAATGCGCCACGGTTAAATGAATTACCAGCTACGGTACTTCACCTGTGGGATACTGGATTTTTTATGGAGTGAAAAGTGTATGGGTCATCGCCAACCATTTGGCATATGGGTCTGTACCGGATTAAGCCATGCTTTCTCCTTCCATTCGAAGCCGTACTGACACTTGAAGGCGTTCTGTTCCATAGACCGACTCGTGGAGTCAGATGACTACACTGAAATAAAATAGTGAGCCGTGGCTACTGCACAGTTCCATCCACATTCACAGTGATTCACGTTGAGCTTATTCCCCTATATGTTAGTGCCTTAGCAACGCCTTGCTCGAGATAACGTTCTCCTTACAAAATGTGAATGGTGATCCCAGCGTTCTTCGGAGCTTTCTACAGAGCGAGCCTTGAATTCGATACTGGCCCCCCCTCACCAGTCTGTCACCGCTTTAATGCATGTTAATCCGTTGCGTCACATTACCACCCCCCCCTGACGAGTAAGCGCATTCTGTTGGAGTTCCACGACAGTTACACGACTTTTAGTCCCCATAGCTGTTCTTTGAACGGGGTCTGGATTTCTGCTCTGCTAGAAAGGATCACACAGAATTTTCTAGTTTTCGTGGATGTGCCTTATAGGCAGTTGGCAACGGGATAAATTCGCTATACACGTGTAGAAAATGTGTCAATCTGGCTTAAAGATTCCGTGAGCTTTGGACAGACGCTGCGTGAAGCCTTTTCAAGGAGGGTACTTCATATATACGCCTAATTTGAGCAACAACTTTAACTGTCAAACCGCTTTCCTTGCCGTCGCACAAATGGACTGAGTGCGTTTTTCTGACGCTCGTATTCATATCATTGCTGAGCAAATTCATGAAGCAGGTTTGTTTATGAAGCGGATGATGCTGCATGCTATATGGGTACAAATTATGGAGCGTATATCTCCGGTAGCGGTGATTGGCAAGATGCGTACGGGAAACTCGTCCGAAATCGATTTACAAGTCACTGAGAACGAAGGCTTTTTCTTCGCCGGATTTTGACCGTTTCACTCCGTTCTTTCGCCATTTCCCCCACTATATGGCTCCCTATTAGCATTTTTGGGCGAAGTTAGAACCATCGGCCAACTAGTTTGATTGTTTCTGTTACAACTGTCATTCAGGTAATGGTTGCTGTTATGGTTATCAAATATGAATATTTTCAGAGGAGACGGAGCAGAAAGCCGGAATTCCACCTTCTCGGTCGCCAGAAGTGAGTTTAGTGTAGTTGGTTCTCACGTGAATGTCGTTGGCATCTCCACTCTGAACTGCGGTGACAAGCAGGATTGTTGCATAGGCGGCACTTCCACTTGGCACAGCACTTTCCGATTCGTTCTTTGGCAGAAAATGACAGACGAAATTCTGGCACGAACTGGCTCAATGAGTCTCCGAAATGGTGGGTGCACTGTTCATCAACTGCTTACTTATTTACTCATTTATTTATTTATTTACTTATATATTTATTTGTTTATATTTATTTACGGTAAGTAGTAGTGCGCAACACAACTAAACAATCAAAAACCAGTCTGCATTCATTTTCAGATGATTCGCACGTCAGGGGTCGTGCTAGAAGCAAAGCGCAGTTAGTTATCAGGATTGGGTAAAGTAGAGTCGACGAGGATTGAATAACAATTGTCAGACAGTTAGGACGGCAAGGTGAGAGCAATCACAAAGAAGAATGTCAAAATCGTATGTGATTGTGACAGGGCTTCGGCGTCACAAGATACTAGTACTGAGTGGATTGAGAAGACTACATGCCACCATAGCTAGCCATGGTGTCCTCAGCAAAAAAAAACGGAGGGGGGGGTCATCAAGGGTAAGCCGGCACTCGGGTATACCGGCAGTCCTCGCCGGCACACTGGCCAGAAGCGACAGCACACAGGTACTAGACCTCGAACTTAAACCAGAGCCGACTGTCATTGAAGGTGTGATTTTCATCGAGGAGGAGGGGATATTAGGCTAACTGGGTCAACTTCTACTCATGAGCGACCAAGACAACAAAGAAACAAAAAGTCTCAAAGCAACTAGTGAAGAGGATTTTGTATATTGTGCTCTCGTAGCGGGGAAGATTAACTATCAGAAAAACTATCTGGAAAGTCAAATAGAAACAAAGATGGTGTGCCAGCATGGGTTCATCGCAATCGATCTAAAAGAGCGGAGAATTCAAGTCTCAGAGTGAAATATCTTGCCGATGTGAGCCTGCGGAGGGCCCCCGTATGTGTGTGTGCCCGTCAACTTGTTAATATGTAACGTGAATAGGCTGTTCATTCAGTAATGAAAGTGTTCTATTCGACGCACTCAAAATTGACAATGAAAGTGTTCTATTCGACGCACTCAAAATTGACACGAAGTTTTTGGACAACCCCGGCAAAGTTTTGTTGTGACGTGATTGTTGCTTCTGTTCAGTATACTGAACAGCAATATTTTACAGAGCCGGAGGAAGATGCCGTGGGCGTAGTGACTGACTTTCTATTCTATTTGCTGCGAGATGGCTGCCTTAAAACCTTAGTCACAATGTGTCTTTCATTACAAGGATATTTGTATTCTTCGAATGAAGTAAGTTGGCAGATAACGTTGTACATTGTCAGTCAGTAATGACGTTCTTCATGACTTTTTCAGAATCCGCTCGATTACTATGGTGGTGTTCGCGATCTAACTGTCATATTCGATGTTCGCTAGATGAAAAATGTCGCGCAATGTACGGCGCTCCTATGATACGTTCGGCAATTGAAAAATCCCAAAAATTTGATATCAAGAACGAGCTACAATAGTGTAGGTTCCATACTGAGTGGGCCACTGCTTGGAACACTATCAGTAGTCGAATTTTCTCTTCTTTCGAAGCGACTTCTGCAGATGAACTTTATTTGCGCTGGCGTTTCGACTTGTTTCGTCGTTTTTAACAGGCAGGGTGCCCTTGCATGGGAGGAAACTAGTCTGCTATCTGTGTTGACCATCTTCGCCTCAAAATAGATCTCCTTATACGAACCGTAAAATTAGAATTGAAGTTACAGTAGCTCCTGGCTCGTCCACAACAACGTGGTTGATTAGATTTTTGCCTAACACGTAATTTGAGCTCGTGTTGATTTGTCGCTTACCTCCCATTGCACTGAGCACTGCTGATTCGCGAAACTTTTGCAAAAGCAATATTCAAAAAAGCAGCCTCGGCTGTTCACAACTTTTCTATGGTCCTGAGGAAGACACTTCTCGGCGCGGACTGAAATTGAAGATAGTGTATTCGGCAGGCTTGCAAATGTCGCTCCATATTTCTGAGTGCTCAAGCTCACTTTTTTTTTGCAAACTTATTTTTTCAGCTTAAGTTCCAATACCTCCTCCTCCTCTCTACCTGGCGGGGCCTCTCAATGCCCTTCCTCTTTTGTTGTGGTCACCTCAACGATGCCATGCTCGTCAAAGAATGCTGAGGTTTGTGGGCAAAGTCGTGCCCCAGGCGGGAGTCGAAATCCGCACTCACGCTATATCCCACCGATTACGGCTGACCGGCTCACCAAGTTAAACGTGTGAGTGCTGATAGGCTACGGCATAAAAGCCGTTAAGCTGAGAGGGTAAAAGCGGCCCTGGTGGCGTAACGGATAGCGCACTCGCCCGGAAAGCGTGAGGTGCGGGTTCGACTCCCGCCTGGGGCACGACTTTTGCCCACAACTCAGCATTCTTGTGATAACATTCGGAACGCGTACTGCGGCGTTAAACAGCAGTTATCATAACAAAACAAACATCTAAAGCCTTAGCCTCGCGGTTTCATGCCGATATCCCACGATTACGGCTGACCGGCTCACCAAAATAAACGTGTGAGTGCTGATAGGCTACGGCATAAAAGCCGTCAAGCTGAGAGGGTAAAAGCGGCCCTGGTGGCGTAACGGATAGCGCACTCGCCCGGAAAGCGTGAGGTGCGGGTTCGACTCCCGCCTGGGGCACGACTTTTGCCCACAACTCAGCATTCTTGTGATAACATTCGGAACGCGTACTGCGGCGTTAAACAGCAGTTATCATAACAAAACAGCTTCAAAAACATCTAAAGCCTTAGGCCTCGCGGTTTCATGCCGATATCCCATCGATTACGGCTGACCGGCTCACCAAGTTAAACGTGTGAGTGCTGATAGGCTACGGCATAAAAGCCGTTAAGCTGAGAGGGTAAAAGCGGCCCTGGTGGCGTAACGGATAGCGCACTCGCCCGGAAAGCGTGAGGTGCGGGTTCGACTCCTCCTGGGGCACGACTTTGCCCACACTCAGCAATTCTGTGTAACATTCGGAACGCGTACTGCGGCGTTAAACAGCAGTTATCATAACAAAACAGCTTCAAAAACATCTAAAGCCTTAGGCCTCGCGGTTTCATGCCGATATCCCACCGATTA